GCCTATGGACCTTCATGTTCTTTTGTGATTTTGTGAATATTTAACCACAACAAGCCTAAATTAAATTCAAAGTAATAACTGTCATTAACTTAGTTTTGCTAGAATTAGGATTTTCTCTGTCTAGTCATAGATCTGTGATTTTATTGGTCTAGAAATTCCTGCCACAGACTACAATCCACTCTAACTTTATGGATAAGTCTTGGAGAGATACCCAGAGCTCAGAGAGGTAAAACCCAGGGTCATGTGGTTAATAAGTGTCAGAGGTAGGACTGGACTCTAGGACTTCCATATTTCAAGTCCAATGTTCTACCTACTATGTTATTCAAGCTCTGTTCAATGATATCATCAAATACCCACAGTAGTCTATTTAATTATTTTTTGTAATAGACCTGTTATTTCTTTGGCATAGTGTTATTGGTGAAGAAACTCCTTTTATGGATGTAGATTACCAACTACCCTGCAACTAAAAAGTCTGCTAGACTTGCCTAGGCCATGGGAAATGTTGTTTAGCCCAGTATGTTTCAGAAGCAAGACCTGAACTCAGGTCTTTTTGATTTCAAGGCCAGCTCTCTATCACTATACCATTCTTTTTCTCAATCTGTTTAAAAGGATCATTAAATAGACACCAAATGTCATACTCCCCATTAGAACAAAATAGTGTTCAAAGTAAAATATTATCCAATGCTCCTGAGCTTCATTTATTTATAGAGTCAAGGTAGAAGCAGTTTCTCATATGAAGGGAGAAGAGGAAAGATGGGGAGGGAAGGGAAAGGACTAGAATTTCTCCTATCTTTGTTCCTGTGAAACATTGGCACCCACACTGGACATGTGCTGGCACCAAGAAAGCTACTCTCCTTGGCAGTTACCTGGAGTCATTATCAGACAATTGGTAGTCGGACTATGTCATTATTTACTTAGTACCAAGTCTGGAAGCATCATCACAAGGCGAGACAAGGAGAGAGTTTCCCTTTGATTTTCCCTCTGTCTATGACTAATAGAACTGGCCCAGTCTCAAAGGATAAGAAACACAACCCTAAACTGTTCCCTTTGGAGCAGAAAATTATGGCTTCTTTACCAAGGGTAGGATTTATTGTTTGTGGGTTTGCCTACTGGAACTGACAGGGGCTTGGGATATTCTATCTGGGCTTTATTCCCACTGCTATAACTGGCTCACTTTATTTGGTTTCAGACAAGTGACTTCCTTTCTCTGAATTCCCATTATCCCATATAAAAAGTCAGCCCACCATAGTCTCCTCTCCTCTCCTCTCCTCTTTTCTCTCTGTCTCTGTCTCTGTCTCTCTCTCCTTTACTCTCTCTCTCTCTCTCTCTCTCTCTCTCCAATCTCTGTAACTATTTTTCTCTTTGTAATTCTGGTATGTATCTCTTCTCTCTCCACTTTCTTTTTCTCCTCTCCCTTTTCTCTTTCTCTCTTTCTCCCATTTCTCTCTCTCAAATGTATTTATCCCCTTTGTTATCAAAGTGATTGCCAGATATCATTCCTTCTCCCAAATTTGAGCCCTCTCTTATAACAAAGAAAAACTATTAAGAAAAAATCACTAACACAACAACATATGGAAAACTGACAGTTTAACAGCATATGCAAAATGCTGCACTTGTAGTCCCCCATTTCTCTTCCTATAGGATAATGAATTTGGAATTGGAAGGGACTTCAGAAGTTATCTACTCCAATCCCTTCATTTACAGATGAGGAGGCTATGATCCATAGAGACAAAGTGACTTGCCCGAGGTCATGGATATTTTTTCAGAGCCTAGGAATTTGAACCCCTTTGACTCTAATTCCAGCACATTTTCCACTATACTTCAGAGACTCCGGGTCATGTATTTCATTATGTAATTATGTAATGATCAATGATTACAATTATTCAGAGTTTGATTTCATCTTAGTGGTCTTATTGTTCATGTTAGTGCAGTCATTGTGTATATTGTTCTCCTGGTTCTGTTTACTTCACTTTGCAGCAATTCATACAAGTTTTTCCATGTTTCTCTAAGTTTTTTTATATTCATTATATAATTGCACAGTAATATTACATTGCATAAATATCCTGCAGTGTATTCAGCCATTCCCTAGTTAATAGACATCTCATATTATTTCTAGGAAATCTCATTAATGCCTATAGGCCCAGTCATTCTTTTACAATAAGTATTTTTTTCTTGGGGGTGGAGTGGGGAAGCCAGGAAAAAAAATTGAATCCTCTTGATGGAGAGTGGTGAATTTGTTTCTGGGTATAGCAACTTCTGAGTTGCTAGAAGGATCCTTTGAAATGGATTTGAATTAGAAGCCTTAAATCTGAGTTTCATCAAAATCTCTTAATTTCTCAAATTCTTATCCTTAAATTCTCTAACACAATTTCTTTCCAAGTGCTTATCCATCAATATATCTAGTTTGACACTTTCTCTTTTCTCTCACCTGTTACAGCATTGAAAATTTAAAATAATCAAAATTAGATCTAGAAGGTTATTTTTTTAAAAAATTTAATTTGCTTTGATGGTTTTCATTTTTATGTTACTTTACTTAACAAATAAGCAGTTAAGCAAAACTAACACATAGACTGAATTTAACAGAATATGTAATATTTCACATCTATATATCTCTATCTCTCTAATGGAGGGAAGAAGGTGACTTTTCTCAACACTTCTTCAACTCCAATCTTGGTCATTATAATTACACAGTGTTAGTTTAAAGTGTTTTCTAGTTGTTAGTTCCTTTTGCATTGTTGCATTCATTGTGTAAATAGTCTTCTTAGTGCTGTCTTCTTCACTGTATCAATTCACACAGGTCTTTCCACATTTCTCTGAATTCTTCATATACATCTTTTCCTTCAAGCACAAGGATGTTCTATATATCCATGCTACACAACACGTTTAATTGTTCTTCAAGCAATGGGCATTTGCTTTGTTTCTAATTCTTTGTGACTACAAAACATGCTGCTATAATTATTTTTAATAGAGAGGTAACCCCAACATTTTAGAGATGAGGAAACTAGGTCCCAGATGTGGTGAAAGGATTTGTACAAGACCTTGCAAGAGTTGAACCCAGGCCTCCTGACTCCAAAGCCAATGCTCTTTCCACTCCACTTATGCAGTGTTCCTCTCTTCATGCCTCCTCTCTCCCTGTGGGAGACCCTGTAGGTATATGGGCCTTCATGCAGCCTTAGGCAGCTAGCTCCTGCAGAGCCTTTCCACCAGAGAGCAGTTAAGTGCCTTTATTTTTTCCACTCCAGTGGCTAAATTATTCTCAATGTGTTAAACAATGTAATTAAACACACACACATGGGGGTGTGCATTCCCCCCACCCCCACCCCGTCCTTCCTTGTTCCCTGTCAGCCCTGAGTGTGTGTCAGCCCCAGCCTTCAAGCTCTGTTAGTTTTAATTTGAGTTGTGGAATTAGTAATTGGTTTTGCTGGAACACTGTTGTGGGAAACAGATCACTCCTTGAACAGAGCTCGGGCACCATTTCAAATGAGTATTTGTTAAGGGGAAAACCATCCCCTTGTTGTGTTCCACTACATTACGTTAGATTTATTTCCATTGTACTGAAAAACACCAGTCAAGAGAGAACAATGAATATTTCTCTGGAGCTGGGAATGGTCTAGCTTTTCTTCTTGTTTTTCATTGGGTTTAAAGAAGAGAATGAGAAGAGAAGAAAAAAGGACAGCAGAGGAGAAGAGAAGAGAAGAGAAGAGAAGAGAAGAGAAGAGAAGAGAAGAGAAAACCTCTTATTGCTGTTATGATATGATAGACCCAGCCCATTTGATAAGCAGGGAGCTTTGGGGCTGAAAGTTAGGCGCTGGCAACCCCAGCTTACCTGTCTTTTTAAGGAAGTGACAAACCATAGCTGCAGATTTAAATCTTGGCTTAAAGAGATCCCTGTGCATTCTGGTTCTGAAAATAAAGTGCTAGGACCATTAAACATTTAGAATCCAATGCAGAAACATATAATCACAGAAACTCAAATTTAGAAGAGACATCAGCACCCATTCAGAGCTCTAACTAGGAATTTTTTCACCTGGGGCAAGAACAGTAGTGGATACATGTGTGTGGGTGCTGGGGTGGGAGGGGAGGGTTTGAGGGGGGTGAGAGGGGAATGTAATGTTGTAGGTGTAGCCATGTCAGGAAAGGGGTCAGCTTGGTAATGGGACCAAGCATAAGATGGTAGAGGACCTTAAGACAAGATATAGAAACCACAACTTCATTGGGAGGAAACATGCCCTTTTGGGGTGGAAATATGGCCCATTGAATGCTGATACCATGGGCCAAAGCCCCATCAGCTTCATGATAGTTGTGCTTTTACAATAATCCTTGTCAGCTGGTCATCTAACCTACTTTTGAACAATTAGGGGGAGCTCATGGATCATTTTAAAAGGCAGAGTGTTTCATGTCTGAATTGTTAGAGAGGTTTTTTTTTTCTTTTTATTGAGCCAAAATCTGTTTCTCAGGCATGGGCACAGAGTAGTCCTAGTTCTTCCCTTTGGGATGAAATAAAGCATGCCTACTCTTTTAACTCAAATGAGTTAACATATGTAAAGCACTTTGTGAATCTTAAAGTGCTATACAAATGCAAGCTAATTAAATGAGTAGGCACCACCCAGATCACCGGTACTACTTTCAGCCCAGCTCTCACAGCTATCTGTAGAGAAAATGCCAACCATCCTCATCAACTGCCAACCAAATGGCACAGATAGGACAGGCAAGCCAGCCTAACTGAGGCAGCAATGCCTCAGAGAAAGAGAGGAGGCGGTATGTGGAGGTAGCAAGTCAAACCAATACCTTGACCACCATTTCCCTTCAGACCTTAATAGAAACAGCCAAAAACCCTGAGTCCAAGTGCCTTTGGGAAAAACAGTACCCATCCATAACTCCAAAACTGCTTCCGGCCCAACCGTCACAGCTATCATCAAAGGGAGAAATTATTACAAAGAGGCTCCACCTTCCTCATCACAACCAGCAAACGCTGCTAACCGGATGCCACCAAAGGGCACATGGGTATTTGGATCCCTGGGAGTGGCAGCATCTCCCCGACCACCAATCCTACTTCCCACCCAGCCCTCACAGTCTTCCTTCAGGGAATCAACTTCTATAATAAAGGGGCCAACCGTTCCCACCAATGGTCACACATATAGGAGGTAGCAAAGGAATACCTTAATTTGCACCAGGCAAGTCAAACCACTAATACTACCTCAACCACAATCTCCTCTGTGATGTTGATGGATAAAACCCAGCACTCTGAGTCCAAAAGTCTTAGAAAAAAAAATCAGTGCTTCTAGCCCACTGCCCTCAGTTATCATTGTAGGAAGTAGCCCCTTTGGAGAGGCAGCCTGGTATAGGTGTTTCAGCCACTGCAACTGAAGGCCTGAAGAAGAACTTGAACACCAAAAATATTTCAACATCAGAAACTGATATCATGCTATACAATGGACATGACATTACAGAAGGGGCATTACCACCTGCTTTGCAGCCTCACCCTAAGGACCATGGGATCTTTCCATATTACTTTCAATTGAATCTTTCCATCTGTATGTCTCCCCTATTAGAAAGTGAACTCCTTGGGAGCAGGGACTGTCTTACTTGTCAGATTGTTTATTTTTGTCTTTGAGTCCCCATTGCTTAGCATGGTGCTTTGTACACAGTAAGCACTTAATAAATACTTAATTCATTCATTGATTTATATAAGTCTACTTGGAGTGCCAACATGAGATTATGCTAGGGAAAAGGGAGGAGGGTGAGGGAAAATTAATCATTCAAGCATTTATTTAATAAATTATTTAAGCCTACCATCTGACAGGCACTGTATTAGGTACTGGAGGCACAAAGTCAAAAAATAAACACTATGTGAGATTACTCAGAGAGCTTACATTCTATAAAGGGAAACAGTATATGTGAATATGAATGTTCAAAATAACTGCAAGGTGATTTGGAGGGAGTGAGCTATCAGCAGCTACAGAAGAGCGGGATCAGGAAGGAACTCAGATAGGAGAAGGCATTTGACCTGAGCTGAGCTTCAAAGGAACCTGGAGATTTGAAGAGAAGGAAGGAATGAATTCAGTGCATGGAAGATAGCCTATGCCAAGTCATAGAGATAGGAGGTCAGTGTGTCTGGACGATATTCTGTGTGAATGAGAGTATTATATAATGAAATTGGAAATATAGATGGTAGCCACGTTACGGTTGGTTTTAAATGACAAACGGAGGAATCTGTATTTGATCCTAAAAGTAATAGGAAGACAGCGGAGTTAAATTAAGCAACTAGGTAGCCCAGTAGATAGAGAACTAGGCTTGTAGTCAAGAAGACCTCAGTTCAAATCTATTCTTAGACACTTACTACCTATGTGACCCTGGGCAAGTAACAATCTCTTCTACCTCAGTTTTCTCAAATGTAAAATGAGTCCAATAATAGCACCTCCCTCCAGAGGTGTTGTGAAGATCAAATGAAATGAAATATGCAAAGCACTTACTAGTGCATGATAGGTGCTTTAAAAAAAAATGCTTGTTCCCTTCCTGTTGAGCAGAGCAGTGATATAGTTCTTTGTTTTAGGAATATTACTTCGGCAGTTGTACAGAGGATAGATTGGAGAGGGAGAGAGACTGAAGGCAGGGAGACAACTAGTAGGCTTTTGCAAAAGTCCTAGTAAAAGGTGTTAAGAGCCTGAACTGGGGCAGTTAGATGGTACAGTGGGTGTTGTGTTGGACTCGGAGTTAGGAAGACCCAAGTTCAAATCTGGTCTTAGACACTTATTAGCAGTATGACTCTAGTCAAGTTACCTTTTCCCTCTTTGTCTCAGTTTTTTCATCTATAAAATGGGGGTAATAATAATGTCTGCCTCTCAGAGTGATTGTGAGAATAAGATGGGATAATATGTGTAAAACTTTTTGAAAACCTTAAGGTGTAACATAAATGTTAGCTGTTATTATGGTAGTAGCCATGTGAATATAGAGAACAGATACAGGAAATGTGGAGATTAAATCCACAAGATTTGTTTATTTGACTGGATATCTGAAGTGAAGGAAAAAGAGAAGCTGAGAATGACTCAAAAGTTGAAACTCTAGATGACTGGAAGTTGGATAATTCACTTGACAGAAAATGAGAAGTTTAGAATTGTTAAGAGTCTTTGTGAAAAGATAATGAATGGTGTTTTGTACATTTTGCTTTTGAGATGCCTATGAGTCATTGAGTTCAAAATATCCCAAAGATGGTGATTCAGGACTAGAGCACAAGTGAAGATGATAGGAGAACATATAGATCTGGAAGTCATTTTCATAAAGATAATAACTGAGCTCATAGACATTAATGATGTCACTAAGAGAAACATATTTTATTATATATATATTATGTATGTATAAACATATATAGAGAGAGAGAGAGAAAGAAAAAAGAGGATTCAGGATGAATTGAAGGTACATCCACAGTTGGGGCTGAGGCTATATGGAAGATGATACAGCAAAGAAGACTGAGAAGGAGTAATCAGGCAGTTAGGAGGAAAACCATGAGAGAGCACTGTCACAAAGACACAGGAAGGAGTGAATAACCAGAAGAGGTTGGTCAGTATTGTCAAATGCTGCAAAGAGGGTAAGAAGAATGAAGAATAAGACTGTCATTTGATAATTACAATATCATTGAGAAGAATAAAAAATGAGATTATTGGAAGCACTATGGAAAGACAGGCACCCTAGCTTCATTGGTGGAACTATGAATTTGTCTAAATGTTCTAAATAGTGATTTTGAATTATGCAAAGAAATTAAATAAAGTATTCATACCCTTTGAACCAGAGATCCCACTGCTAAGTTAGCTCAAGGAGATCACAGACCAAAGTGATGGTCCTATATACAACAAAATCTTCCTAGTCACACTTTTTTTCTAGTACCAAAGAAATGGAACTAAAACACATGTCCATCGATTAAAGAAGGGTTAAAAAACTGGGGTACAGGATTTAATGGAATATTACTGTACATGAAAATTGAATGGAATATTATTATACAGAATATAATGGAATATTACTATGCAGAAATTAATGAAATATTACAGCAAAGAAACAATGAATGTGAATGATTCAGAGAAGGATGAAAAGACTTATATTAATTGATACAAAATGAAGTAGCTAAAACCTGGAAAACAATATACATAATAATGCAATAGTGTAAATGGAAACAACAATAAAAAATCAGAATGTTGTACAATTACAATAGCCAAGTTTGGCCTAAATAAGATATGACAAAACATACCTCATCCCCTTCTTTGCTGAGGTGGAGAAATACAGGTTGGAGCATTGCATACATTGTCAGACTCAGTGGTTGAATTAATTAGTTTTCCTGAACTGTTTCTTCTTCCCTTTTTCCTTTTTTATTCTGTTTAAAATTGTAGCTCTGGGTAGGAGAGGGAAAGGGCTATATTTGGAAAGGAAGGCGATATAAAAACAAAATATATTAAAAAAATGTAAGACTATTGGCAAATTTATAGAGACCATTTCAGTTGAGAGATGAAGTTGGAAGTCAGATTGCAAGAGATTAAGAAATGAGCGGGCAAACACGAAATGGAGCAATGAAAGAAGGTAGCTTTTCCTAGGAGCCTGTCTGAGGAAAAGAAATGAACTATATGGCATGAGACTTTGAGGTAATTATAGGGTCAAGAGAAAGGGTTTTGCTGTTGCTGTTGTTATTGTGGTTTGGTTTTGTTTGGGGTATAGGAAAAGCCTGGGCATGTTTGTAAACAGCAGAGACGGAATCAATAAAAAGGAAGAAATAGAAGATTGGTGGGATTTTGGGGAGGGGGAATGACTGTGGAAGCGATTTCCTGGAGGAAATAGGAAGATATGGTATCAAGTGTACATATAGAGGGGTTGTACTCGGTGAGGAGAAGGACCACCTCTTCATCAGAGATTGAAGTAAAGAAAATATGAGAGATGACACCAAGGGTTTTTAACATACAGAGTACAGAAGAGGGAGCTCACAGAAAATGATCTCTATTTTCTCAGTAAATTATAAGCTTAGGTCCTCTGCTAAAAAAGGAGGAGGGAACGGTATGGGAGACTTGAAGAGAGAAGAGGAGATTTGAGACAACCCCTATAGGAAGTAGGTTAAAGAATCAATAAGGAAAGGAGAGAAAAATGATTGCCTTGCTGCAGTGAAGGCTCAGATGAAATTATATCAAATAAATTTATAGTCAATTTATCATGGTCACATGAAAAAGAATTACCTCTTGCCTTGTGTCCAAGTAAAATCTTTTATGCTCATGAATTGGGTGGGGAAATAAATTTCATTCATTCATTTGTCATTTATTTATTCACTTTTCATTTATTTTATTTATTATTCATTATTCATTCATTTATTCATTCATTCAATCTACTATACATAGGCTTTGTGGCTGATGCCACTCTTTGTGTCTTGAATTCTCCCCTTGGCCCATATGTGAACAACCCCCCCCCCCAAAAAAGTAATCCATAACATGGGATTCTCTTCATCTTTAGATGCCCTAGAATGTAGCTGCTATAATCGCTACAGCATTCAGAAGAACTAAGGTCATCAGAGCAGCCAGGGGTTCATCTTGTGATTTAAAGGCAAGAATAAAGCTGAGTTTATATAGATGTGGAAACAAAGGTAAAGACATAATTAGATTTTCCAGTAGCAAAGTTTGAAGAAAACACCCAATTATGCACCATAAATTCCAAGTTCTACCCTGTAACTTGAGTCATTAGTCTGAGTAGCTCTTCAATGACAAGTACTTACTACTGATTAATTTTTTTTTTACCTATTCTCTCAGTGTTCCTGTGAGGACTACGCATCTTCTACTAATCCTTTTTGCCTGTATTCTCTGTTTTCCTGTCATACCCATTATGAGGCAGCACCACATAATAATAGGCGATAGGGTCTAGACTAGACTAGACCTGTGATTTCATTGGTATAGGGAACTAACTCCAGGGTAAGGAAATTCTATCAATGCAGGTTGGCATTTTCTTCAGCTTAGAGTATTATAGAGTTGCCTAAGGCCAGGCATTCTGGATACTGAGTGCTGGAAAAGTTAATACCTTCCCCTCTCCCCACCCCAAGGCTTCAGCTGTTCTGTTAACCCTCAGAGTGCTGGGACTGTTGAGGGGGCCTAGATAAGAGGCTCAGAAGAAGGATCCTGTGGGTGAACAGAGGATTTGCTGGTGCCAGTTTAGTCTCAGAAATCACATCTGTAGCTTTTCAAAATATGGAGTAGAGACCTTGTGAAGTGCTATAAGATACCAGTATTTCTGAACCCAGGGGGATGGTGGTTGGTTGGCAAGCTGAATTGGAGCAGTCAGAGGATGCCAGGATTAGAGCAGACAGGAAAAGCGGGAGGGTGCGTGGTTAGCCAGGCCTGCACAGGGTCACAGCCAATGGGAGATCTAAGTTAAGTGGCAGTGGGACGGTGATCACTGAGGTTTAGGATTTTGGCTAGGGTAAGAAAGAATCTGTCTGGGATTCTAATGACCAACTGGGATTCTAGTGTGCACAGGGAAGCTGGGGTAGAAAATAAAACAGTCAACGATAGCTGAATTTGAAGGGGTGGAATGAAATCAGCACCTCCTGAGCAGGGCTGACTTGCTGGTTGATGCAGAGGAGTGGGGAAAGAGCCAGGAGTCCAGGTGCTGAATTTGCCTTATGAATGGCTTGGTGCCTTAGCCCTGTGGTGGTTGTGTGCCCATTGCCTGCAATGTGTTTGGGAGCCCATTGGCTCAGAGCCATATTCAGTGCTTACCTATGGCTAGTTAGGCTTAGGCTCTACCTGGGCAAATGGATCACCTATGAAGCTAGGGCTATTGGAAGGTGACTGGTTCCAGACATCCGTGGTTCCAAGAAGCCCAGTGGAAACCTATGGCCTCAGGCTTCCACAACCTGGTATTTATCCCACATATGGCTGGGCCTAAATAAGAGGTCCCAGGATCTGGTCTCAAATAATGTGGGCCCCAACCCCCCAGTAAAAATCAAGCTGATTTTTGGGGGTGTGGTAACAGCAGCCATTTGTGTAAGATCTCAGACGGAGATAGAATCTACCTTAAAGCAGCTTGGCTCTGTGATCCCAGCCATAGATAGCAAGGACCAATGAGGGAAATTCCCTGTCATGTACCTTTAATTCTTAGACAGCAAATCATCCTATCAATTGAGATTGATTGAAACCTACTTACTTGGCCTATGAGAGGGATTTTTGGCCACAAGACCAGTTAGAATTTGAATTAGGATTTAATTGTTCCTAGGTAGGCTTAAGGATGTTTCCATTTTGTTAATCAATCCCTGCCTGACATACAAAAGCATTTCAAAAGTGTTTCTGTTGTGCTAGGAAAAGTCACATAGCTATAAGTTGAATAACTAATCTTTCTATTGATAAATTGTCCAGTAGAAATTTAACATGTGCAAACTGACTAATTGAAGGCTGAGTGTGGAAATGAATTTTATTGTAACTCAGAGAAGCACCAACTAGTGGCCAAGTTTGCTTTCTGCTTCCGTTCTTATCCCTATAATCCACCTATGAACTATCAGAAATGGGTTCTCCTAGCCAGATTTTAGAATTCCCTGCTCTCTGATCATATTCTGTTCCCTTAAAAAATGCCCACACTAAAGAGAGCAATGTGTTTAAAACTGTAAAAAAGTCTTGATTAAGGTTTTAACCTTAAATGCAATAAAAACCAGTTAAAGCCAGTTCAAATTGGTCAAAACTGGTTCAAACCTGTTCAAAGCCATCAAAACAGGTCTAAAGCTGTTCAAACCAGTCAAAACTTGTTGAAGCCAGTCAAAATCAGTTATAACCACCTAGATATCATCCTTCAAGAAATTATCAAGGAAAACTGCCCTGATATTTTAGAACCAGAGGGCAAAATAGAAATTGAAAGAATCCACCGATCTCCTCCTGAAAGAGGTCCCAAAGGAAAATTCCTAGGAATATTGTAGCCAAATTCCAGAGTTCCCAGGTCAAGGGGAAAATATTATAAGCAGCCAGAAAGAAACAATTCAAGTATTGTGGAAACACAATCAGGATAACACAAGATGTAGCAGCTTCTACATTAAGGGACCACAGGGCATGGAACATACTATTCTGGAGGGCAAAGGAGATAGGATTACAACCAAGAATCACCTACCCAGCAAAACTGAGTATAATTCTTCAGGGGAAAAAATGGTCATTCAGTGAAATAAAGGACTTTTAAGCATTCTTGATGAAAAGACCAGAACTGAATAGAAAATTTGACTTTCAAATACAAGACTCACGTGGAACATGAAGAGGTAAACAGGAAAGAGAAATCATAAGAGACTTATTAAGGTTGAACTGTTTACATTCCTTCAGGGAAAGATGATATTTGTGACTCATGAGACCTTTGTCAGTATTAGGGTAGTTAGAGGGAAAAAATTATATGTATGTATATAGATAAATAGATGGATAGAAAGATAGATAGATAGATAGATAGATAGATAGATAGATAGATAGATAGA